CCGATTAATTAATTTCGCTTTATCTTTATATACAAGAATGGAGGGCGCGTAGAAAAGACCAGAATTGCCATAAACAGACATGATCTTTCTAGAATATCATGACGTGTTACTAGAGTCACGTCACTTCCGCTGTCGTAACAACAGTTTCATTTTTCTAACAGCGTGGTTGGCCTCGGAATGGGTTGCCTTCAGATGTTGTATAGGCAGTAAATTTAAGTGAGTTTAAGCGAAAACTTGACAAGTATATGAATGATGAGGGCTGGCTTTAAGATTTTAAAAAAAATTATATTAATTTAGTTTAGTGGATAGAACAGCCGAGATGGACCAATAGATCTAATGTTAAAATCATAAATAATGTCTAATGTTGTCCCAAAACATTATGTTATTTTATATATTTAATATTTCAAAAGCAAAGAAGGGCAGGGAAAATAAGAAATTCAAGTATTATTACTTAAGCCACGACTTAAAAAGAAGGAAAAAAACAACAAAAAACAGAGCAACAACAAACACAAAGTTCTTAAGCCTTCCTGTTGGGCAAATCATAATTCAGAGAATTGTTGCGGTATATCTCCAAGTGTTGACAGTGGTAAAGCGCTCGTGACACACGTTGCCTGTGTACGAGTCACGTGAAAATAAAACACCCAGTAGAAGAAGTAGATTGCGTTAACGTGGCTATAATTATGAAATCACGAGACATATATTACAATAATTTTAATTAAACAAGACCACTAAATTAAGGTGAGTTTAATTTGTAGATTTTTATAGATAATAACCGGTTACTATCAGTAATGGAACTTGGAAGTCTAGTCACAACAGCATGAGATCAATAAATCAGTTTTATAATAATTCAAAAGCTTTGACTTTTCACTTTGCCTGGGGAGGCCCGGGTTAGACCCGATTAATGCTTACCTACTACAATCCCGAAAGATATCAGTAAGATCGTCAGTTCTGGACTGGTGAGCATGTGCTGCCTGTGAGTACCACAGAAGCTTGATAAAGCCGTCATAATAATATTTATTTTAGTAAGTAATTATATTCTCTTACTATTCTACGGCTGTGTGTTTTGTAGGTAAAGCTTTTTTCTTCTTGTTTAAACTAAACATTCGTTTCTGCTTATGTTCTATTCGAAAGAACACAATAATAATACAACTGAAAGTGAAACAAATGGAGCTAGTGTTTGACGAAACAAGTATTTACCGGTGTAGAATATATCACTAGTCGTTTCGTTGTGTTGTCGAATTGTTATAAATTTTACTTTTCGTAATATTTTCCAATAATATTGATAAGTTAAATTGATTAGAAAATAAACAAGTTGAGATTCGTGCTTGTAATTTAAAATAATTAACTTAAGTTAATATCTAATGTAATTCTTTAATTTTACAAATATGTGCTACCTTTCATCAAACAAAAAGATACTTTCAACTGATACTTTACATTTACAATATTGTAAAATCTATCAGTTAGTGACAAATTTAATAATCTATTAATATGAATATCAGTAACAACAACAACAACAAAGAAAAAAAGGTCCTAAGCCACAATCATTTTAAGTTCTAGTTCTAGTAGGGGAGGACTGGCTTTAATATTAGTTTATAATTTTATATGTAAAATGTGAGATACACCCTGTTCAAGTTGTGGGTATTAAACTTGATGTTAATTGTAGTGAAGTTGAATCTGTTTGAGAGAGTCAGGTTTTTAGAAACTTTTAAGATGGTTTTCTTCAACAGTTGATTAAAGAACCTACAAGGTACAGTGTTATATTTATTGTTAACATCTAATAAAGAAATGGTTGACAGAGTAGAGGTTGGGGAACATCCGGGTATAAGTAATCATTGCTCAACTAGATTTCATGTTTTGTTACATATGGATATATGGAATAATGAAATTCTGATTCCAAATTAAAAACAAAATTCTGAAGAGATGAGACAAGAATTGTCTGCTACGTATTAAGCAACTGAACCAGTTGGAGATATTGATCAAATATAGAAAAATTTCAAAAAACAGATCTTCAATATTTAAGATACATAAGTTCCTTATAGATATAAAGTGGCTGCAAGTAAAAACCCAGGTTGACTCACAAGGGATATAAAGGATGAAATCAAAGAAAAGCATTATAAATACAAGTTTAAATTGATTGCAATGATGAAGATTTGGTGCATTATAGAAGATGAAGAGAGTTGGTCAAACGGGAAACTAGGAAATCAAAAAATGTTGGCTGAAAATGTAAAAATAAATTATAAGGATTTCTTCAAATACTTTAAGGGTTAGCAAAATGTTTGGATGGAAGTAGGACCTTTGAGGGTTGTTAGAGGAAGGCTAATATCTGATGATTATGGGAAGGCTGGGGGCTTAAAGTCTACTTTTTCTTGAGTTTTTACTAATTCACATTTAAGCCATATTCCTCACCCTGAACAGTTACTACATGGAAACAAGAGGATCACATTAATTCTGAACTGGTTAAGAAACAATTGGGAAGTTTAAAGAGTGATAAAAGCTCCTGGGTCAGGTGGTATTTACCCAAAGGTTTAGAAAGAAGTTAAGGATTGGATATGTGAGCCACTTATTTTTCCAAGTCTTTGAATAGTGGGCAAATACCAGAAGATTGGAAGCTGACTAAAGTTACTCCTCTTTTGAAACAGTTTTTGAAAGTTTGCTAAAGGATACTTTGCAAAGTCATTTAACAAAGTTTAAAATTTTGTTGGATAGTCAGCATGGTTTTACTAGGGGGAAAATCTATCTTGGATCACTAATACTTTGACATTCTTTGAAGAAGTTACTGCTGATGCATATAAGGGTGCAGGTGTAGATTTGGAGTATCTGGATATTTCAGAAAGCATTTTACAAGGTGCCACTTAAAAGGTTTGTTAAAAAAGATAGCTCTCAAGGTTTGGGGATAGGTTGATACATTGGTTAGAGAATTGGCTAGATGGAAGAAAGCAGAGATTTGTTATATATGGAGTTCAGTCAAACTGGATTGATGTTATGGGTGGGATATTTCAGGGCTCAGTGTTAGGACCTTTGCTTTGTTTGGTTTATATTAATGACATAGATGAAGGAATGGTCAATAGATTATTTGAATTTGCTCATGACATTACATTTTTGGGTGTTGATGACTGTGAGGAGGATGCTACTGCTTTTCAAAAGGACTTGGATTATTTTATGAGTTGGGCAAGTACATGGTAGATGGCTTTTAATTATAATAAGTGCAAGTAAAGCATGTGGGTTATCACAGTTTGAATTACAAATATAGTTTTAATGGGATGTAACCTTAATAGTGTTATGAAAGAAAAAATATCTTGGTATTCTGGTTGATCAGTCTCTTAAAGCCATCCAAACAGTGTGTTTGTGTTGCTAGTGGTAGCCAAATAGGATTTTAGATTGTATCTACATAGATATTGAATACAAGTCTAAAAAGTTATGTCATTGTACAAGTCACTGGTTAGGCCACATTTGGAATATTGTGTTCAGTCTTTGGCTCCTTACTTTAGAAAGGACATTGAATTGTTGGAAAGGGTTCAGAGCAGGGTTACTGGGATGATACCTGGAATGTAAAGGTTGTTATACTAGGATAGACTCTAAACTTTTCTTTTGAAAAAAAAAGAAGGGTTAGAGGGGATCTGATTGAGGTATTTAAAATTGTTAAGGAAATTGATAGTATTGTGCATCAAATTTAATGGTGATAATGATAAGACTAGGGGACTCAAATATAAATTTTGGCAGGGTGGGTGTCATCTTCAGCTAAGACAGTTTTATTTTTCTAACAGGGTGGTTTGCCTTTGGAAGAGGTTGCCTTCAGATGTGGTGGATGCAATTGATTTAAGAGAGTTTAAGAGAATGCTTGATAAATATTTGAAAGATAGGAGCTGGCTTTGTGTTTTTTAGTGTTTGATGTATTGGATAGATGGACCAAAATGTCATTTATTGTCCTTCAACGTTATGTTTTATATATATTTTTTCCACTTAGCCAATGTTCAGTCTATTTCTTAACTTTTCCACTAATTATCATTTGACTTGCTAGTCAGTTTTTCCATGGTACCTTATTAAATCAAATGTTTTAAAGCCAGTGTAAACAACAAGCGAGTCAATAAGGCAAGCAAATCTTGTTAACAACAGAAGTTGAACTATTGTCTCTAAGACCCTTTCTTTTAAAAGTAAGGGCCACATTGGCATACTTCTACAGAGTTCTAGTCATGAGGGAGTTTTCCACTGTTAAGAGACTTTTGAAGTAGAACATAAGCCTTCACTATCTCCTAGTAACATTTCTAGAAGGTTTTATAATAAATTAAGAAGGTTCTCAAGCTGAATGATGAAGGAAAAGTCAACTTGTGAAGATGTTTTATTTATAGATAACTCTATAGTAAAAAAAGTTAAGCTATGTTCCTTTCTTTCATAACAAGATTCTTTTCAAAATATTTAAAAGGACAAACATCATTCACAAATTTGTTTCTCCAAGTAATTATTATAAATCTAAAATCCCTGTGAGTAATTGGAATGTTAATATTGGGATTTTGTTTTTAAAAGAAAATATTTGTTTATATTTTTAGAAGCAAAACAAAATATACTCACAATTGAGAAAGTTGAGACCTGTATTTTTATAAACAACGTATCTAAACTTCACATAAAATGCAATCTTGACACAACTTCAAATCTTCTAACAAGATTGTAGATCAGTTTATTTACATCATACTGATTTATGTATATTCTTTCTTATTAAGTGTGAGCCAGTATCATACATAAACTATAAATAAAATTGAACCAAATGATAGAAGAAAAGGTACATAAATATGAACGTAATAATAATAATAATTGACTCGAAATGAAGGAATAACCCTTCACATCAAATTTGATGTGACCCAAAAAAAGTTAATTCATTTAAACCTTAAGAGATTTTTTCTCTTCTCTTTGTTTCGCTCTATAAACTTCAGCATCCTGATTTTACAAGTTAATCTTATGTTTTTAAAAGCAAAGCATTTTAAATTTCTTAGAAGTTTAATTATGCTATCTGTTTATTTAGTGTTTTAATTATAATTTAAATTTTGACAATAAACACGTTCCTGTCCAAATAAGTTGAAAGAACTAGCAGAGAATCTCTAACATTCTTCTCATTCAGACTACCTGTCCCACCCACTCTAATATTTGAGTTCCTACACTTTAAGGTCAATCACAGTCCAGTAGTTAGCATGCAGGAATGTGGATCTGTAGTTCCTCTCCCAACAAAAATGAAGCTCTGCACTTTGAAGAGTGACATTGAAATCTCTATATTTAGTTAGAATAGATTGTGAGTTGATTGTGGGTGATGTTGACTACCTGTCTTCCCTATAATCTATCACTTCAAGATTATGGAAGGCTAGTACAGATAGCCCTCGAGTGGTTTTGCACAAAAATTCCACAAATGTCAACAATTCTACACTGTATTTCCAATTTTTCCAGTCTTATCATCCCATCATCTAAACTGTTAGATATACAGGGTTTTTTGTGTATATATTAGTTCATTGTTTAAGATTATATTAATTAATTATGTATGATTGTTCACATTTTGTGTCACACGTCATGGTCCTGTCTGTTTATTTATTTGCTTAAACTAAGTAAGTTTAGATAAATTCAGTAATACTTCATAATTTATTCTGTTGATCTTGAATTATAAAGTGAACCTTCCTAATACTATTTAATAAATACTATAGATCTTTGTTGAGTTAAAATTAGCTGGATGCTAGACAGACTTTTTACTGAACAGTGCACTTTTAATATTATTATTGATACGAGTTATTATTATCGTATAATTAAAACATATTTTTATTTCAGATATATACAGTGAGAAGAAAAAGACCCATCATTCATGTTATTGGTGCATGGATTACTTACCCAAGTTAAATAAAATAATACAATAATGGATGATTCAAACTCAATCACAGAAACTCCTCCTCACAGGTTGCCTTTATGTACAAGATTGGCATACAGTGTTGGACATGTTCTCAATGATCTCTGTGCTTCAATGTGGTTTTCCTATCTCTTGGTGTACTTACATTACGTCTTGCAGTTTAACAATAACATTGCTGGAATATTATTGTTAATAGGACAAGTTGCTGATGGTCTGGCCACACCATTCGTTGGACTAGAATCCGACAAAATTGACAATTTCTGGTTATGTAGATATGGAAGAAGGAAAACTTGGCATTTGCTGGGTAATTATTTTATTATTTTGAGTTATTTGTGTATTATTTAAGCTATATAATACTTTAAAAAAGGAATAAATGTGTGGTGTGATTAAGTTTTCGTTTTAGCTAAGCTTCTTGGTTGTATAAATGTAAAAATTAGAGAAAGAATACTGAATTTATGTGTTATTGTGGTATATAAACATACCACGAGTTTTTCCCTTCTTATATTAATGTTTTTGTAAGTTTGTCAATTATTTCTCAGTATGTGAAATTTTCACATAACACATGGTTAAGAAAGTTAAGTTGATTTTGTTCTGCCCTTATAGAGTAGGGCTATAGGGCTGCATGTTATACAAGCTGTATCATCCAGTGGTAGGTCAGGTGATATCTCAAGATTATAACTTCCTCAATGTATCAATGGAATTGACCAACAGTGACATAGATTGTGCACATGTTATGAGAATGTCACATTATAAAATTTGGTATTTAATACAATGATCTCTTTCTCTCTTAAGCCCTTAATTTTGTCATTAAAGTTTAAGTCCTTTCTTTCAAAATAGTGACACTCTTAGTTTGACTTTTAATGTTAACTAATTCTTATTAAGCATCTTAAGTTCTTAAGAGCATTTATGGAGATAAGTATAAAATATATGTACTGTCCTTCATCCTCTACACACATTTTTGATTGTGTATGTGAGGTTAAATAAAGATTGTTTCATCGTATTTTTGTTCTTTTGTGTTTGATCTCTCTCTTTCTCAAACACAATGTCCAAGAACTTGGAATCGTAATATCTTATTGTGAACCTTCTGTTATTAAGTTGACCTATCCTGTCACTCTATAAAGTTTCACCTGTATATACCACATAGAGGATAGGAAGATGAAACTTTTGGTGTTGTGACCACAAGATATCGTATTGTTTTTTTGCTGATGTGTGCATTGTCTTTTACTTGAAATATTCTGTTATTAAGTTTAAAAGGGCTTCATGTTTGAGGAATTTATCACAATTTGAAGGACTTGTAAACAAGAGGAAAAGTTGATCACTGAAGGGAGATGTTTGTACAAGAGAGCTATTGGATCTAGGAAAAGTCCTCTTCTGGATGTTGGACTTTTGTCCATACTGTAGAGGTTCATGATATGCTGTTACAGACACAGGAAAAAAAAATCTGATGCACCTTGAATGACTGATAAGAGTTCTTTCCCCCTGAGGATTGACCTTAGTGTGAGGGAAGCATGGATTGCTGAGGGTTGTTGTCCCCCTGAGGATTGACCTTAGTGTGAGGGAAGCATGGATTCCTGAGGTGGTGTGAGGTATGGTGAATCTGAAGCTGAATGTTGGACTTCTTGTCCTTTGCCAGTCAAAGTAACTCAACTGTAGCTGTGATTGAAGCCACCCAAGACTAGTCAACAGGATCTATTTTACCAGCAGGTAAGTCATTGGTCACCAAATGGTGAAGTAAGTGGACCATGGGGTAGTGGTGAGTATACTACCAAAATAACCCCAGATCACTATGAAGCTTGAGGTCATGCACAACAGCTGGGTTAGGTTCCAGTTGTACCTTATTGTTCTATCACCATAGAACAGAGTGTTGGGATCTTTGAGTGTGCCCATCACACTATACTTTGATGACATCTCATTTCTCCTCTGCCATTCAAGTTTACTGGTCCACTTCCCTAATCTTTTCAGACAAGTCAGTTTGGAATGAAAAGATTCAGCAACAGACAGTTCAATGCTGGATCTGTTTGGATCAATGCATGGATCAGTGAAGCATTTGGAAAGAGCTAAGATTATTTTTCTGGCTGTTCTCAGCCAAGCAGATGAGGAAGTGATAGATGTAGAGGTGAGAGACAACTACAACAGTTGTCTGAGCCACTTAGGGCCTCCCATGAGGGATAGTTGGGATTATGTGTTCCTTCCTTTTTCCATACTCCCAAGTAAAGTTCACCATAAAATACATTGTATGATTTTCAATTGATTATTACAGTATTCACAACTAACGATAGCTACGAGTCTGAAAAGGCTTTGCAGCCCTTGCTTACCAGACTGCTGAGTGATTTTTCCAAGGCCAAATGTTTTATGAGAATCATTCTACTGATCTAACTAAGTGGTGAGATTGCTCCAAAGAATATTTTCTGGTCCTTGGCACACCTGAAGGCCATGAAGTTTTCCTCATGCAGTGTGTTTTTTCTGAGTGTATATTGATATATAAACACACACACACTGTAGTAACAGCACATATATTAATTGTATCTTGCTATAATTTTAGTGGAAAAATCTTAGTTTAATTGAATTCTGTTGGTGATTATTTATTTTGTGATGCCTAAAATGCAAAATGTTGAGTTTAACAACACATAGATGGAAGCACTGTACTAGATCACAGATACTGATTACAAGCTTTAAAAAGTATTCTGAGATTATTACCCAAGTAATTTGCATGGGGCAGGAGACAGTATGTTATAAACTATTAATGTATGTGATGAAATGTAATGAGGATTTTTGTGTACTACAACATACATCTATAAATAAATGTGTGTGGTCGCACACGCATGTAGGAACATTTCAGAAAGTTATTGAATAACACTAACGAATCATTTACACAGCTCCATATGAATAGAAATACAGGATTTGATCTGGATGATAAGACTCTAATATGAGGTTAACTGTGATTACTGGCCCATAAGGTGTTATTTGAAGATACAGTGTACCTATTACTTTTTTAATACATGTAATAGACTTGTCTTAGACTTCTCAAAATCACAGTGGAGTTCTATAACTGTTTAGTAGCCACTGTCAGTCTTCCTGAAGCATATCAGATTAGACTATATCCACATGTTGAGAAAACACTTGCCTAGAATAGCCCATAAGATGACTACCCCTAGTGTTCTCTTTCTAGTTTTACTAAGTGTGGTTTACAGGGAAATAATATCATGGAGACAATTAAGGTTTGTTTAATACCTGTAGCAAGTAATACATTCCACATAAGCTGCAGCAAGTAATACATTCCAAATTAGCTGTAGCAAGTAATACATTCCACATTAGCTGCAGCATGTAATACATTCCACATTAGCTGCTAGCAAGTAATACATTCCACATTAGCTGCAGCAAGTAATACATTCCACATTAGCTGCAGCAAGTAATACATTCCACATTAGCTGCAGCAAGTAATACATTCCACATTAGCTGCAGCATGTAATAATTCCACACTTGCTGCAGCTAATAAATACATTCCACATTAGCTGCAGCAAGTAATACATTCCACATTAGCTGCAGCAAGTAATACATTCCACATTAGCTGCAGCAAGTAATACATTCCACATTAGCTGC